GGCGGGGCAGGGCATAGGAGGAGACGCCATGGATTCGTTCACCACAGACTGTGTGACCTAGAAAGGGCCCGATTGTCTTCCAGCCTCTGGTCACCAAAAGTTGGCTTTGTATTAGAGCCATTTGGGAGAGTTTTGCGGAGGAACGTCCCATGCGAGTACTACCCAGTCATGCTCCTGGGATGAGGACTCAGCAGTTGACACTCCCTGTTCGTATTCTGAGGTACACTAGGGTACTAGTCAAACACACTTTGTAATATTGAACCTGAGGCCCGAAGTTGAATTGGTGCATACCCCAACTCCGCCTCAGACTTTAGGGGTGGACGGAGAAGAAACTAAATTAAGAGGCTTATGCAACGTGTGGCGTTGTACCCAAGAAGGAGCAATTTACTTTGAGATTGTTATGGACCTGCGCCTGGTGATTTCTGTGGTTGCTCGGAAGTCAGACTGAACCATAAGGAATTTGGGTTCAGGGAGCAGTGTAATGGAGGTGGGGCGAGAGAGGGATGGACCTGATCTCCAAAACTGAAGGGCAGAGGTCACCCCCATGCCGTTGCCCAGAAGCACCCAGCCCAGAAGCTACCACTGCGAAACCAGTGGTGGCCCGAGCTAGCTTTCCAGAGCTCAACTTTCACACACAAAAAGCGGTACTAAGGCAGGGCCACCAGACACCTGTGCTGCTGCAGCTGCGAGAAAGGAAACGTATCCAGGCAGCGAACAAGTAAGAAACGCGTTCTTGTTACCTGTTTCCCTCCCATATCCATGGTCTCACAGGGCTCTGATTGGTCTCTGGCCTTCTGGCTTCCTCTTCTGATTCTCTTGGTCCAAGGCGGCCCCAACTGAGTGTGGGTATTCGTTTTCTTTTGCTGCTGTAACAAGTTACTAAAAACTCATTGAAAACAACAAAAAGTTATCTTACATTTCTGGAGATTAGAAGCCAAACTTGACTACATTTTGGACTAAAGGAGGCAGAGCTGGAGAATTATTTCCTTGCTTTTACCAGTTTCCAGAGGCAACCTGAGTCCTTGGCTCATGGTCCATCCTCCATTTTCAAAACGAGTTGAACGGTATTTTCAATTTCTGTCTATCCTCTCTTCTCTGGACCCACTTGCGTGTTTCTTAAAAGGACACGTGTGATTACATTGACCCCTCTCCCCCAAACAAATCCAGGATAACCTCCCCATCTCAGAATCTTTAACTTAATCTACAAGCCCATTTTGCTATGTAAGATAATATAGTGACAGATTCTAGGAGCTAGGGTGTGGGAATGATGTGGGAATGATGCTATGGTAACTTTTAAAAATCAGTTTAGAAAACTATCTACAATGTGAATCAGTATGCATTTACATTTTGAGAAAATGGTCTGGAAAAATCTCAATGAAGGTACTAACAATTATCTTTCCAATAGTAGGATGGATAATTTTATTTTCTACAAATTCATTTGTACTTTAAGTTCATTTTACTTTAGGAAAATAAATGTGTTGCTGTTAGAATGAGAAAAAATGTATTTTTAATGTTAGATACTATTTTGATGTCAAAATAGTGTGTCCCAAAGTCTTAGAGTATATATGTGGGGTGTGTGTGTATATGTGCCAGTATTCAGAGACATACACTTTTTGTCTAGACAGCTATGGTCTCTTGTCTTCAGTCCTGCCCTGGCAGGTCTCTCTGTATTTTCTACAGTCTTATGTGACTTAGCAATGGAGAATACAGAAATGGGTTGTTAGGAGATTTCATCTGTGACGTGTGAACATCGTAGAATGTTATACAAACCTAGATGGTACTATGCATTTAGATTATATATAGGGACCACTGTCATATATGTGACTCTTTGTTGACCAAGGCATCATCTTTTGGTGCATAGCTTTACTGACTTTGTGATGCTGGCACAGAACTGCCATACTGACTGGTCTTTACCAACTGGTAGTATTACCAATACCTGCCACTAGAGGGAGACTGAAGGCAGGTGGAGGAGAGAAGGGACTTAATCCGGTTTGCTGCCTTATTCCTAACAGTGCTGCCCATCGTTAGTCTTCATCCCAGGTTATGGCAGTTCATTCTAGTCTTGGACTCCTTGACATACTCACAGAACCAGCTGACCCCTCAAAGGTACTAGCAACACCTAGCTGGTGTTTTTGATCTGGGTCCCTGAACTGCAGTTCCTATCTTCTATAAGTCTAAATTCTGATAACCCCAAACTCTTAGATTGTCTCCTCAGTTCCAGGAGTGTAAGTGATACTAGCAGTTAACTCTGTATTATTTCAGTGTTTCATGTTTACATTTTAGTTCTAAATACATCTCTTTAACCAGTTCCTTATGTTAAATTCTTTGTGGGGGAGTACTTAGTATGATTCTGCTTTTATTAATGGATACTGATGTGATATTTGGAATGAGAGGTGGTCCTAGGGAACAGACCTTCAAAATGGATTCCAAGGTTAGTTTCGACATGTCTTTAGCTTTGAACACAGTAGTAATTCTTTATTGAATGGAAATGGGATATGAGAAATTCATACCATACCTTGGCACCATTTTTAATCACCTGAGGTTGATGGTGATGAAACACCCTCTGAAATCTTAAAGTACCAGATGACTTTGTGGTAACAGTGATGCTTCTGAGTGCTCTGGAGAGCATGCAAAAAAAAAAAAAATTACAAACTCAGATCATTATTATCTTAGCTCAAGTCATAGAGACTCCAACAACTCCTGTGGTGACCCTGAAAGAATCACTTATTTCTTATAGGACAGACTTTGAAACCCAAAATTTAATTTTGTTAATTGCAGAATTACCCCTTAAATTGATAAGACTTGCATATCTTACTTGTAAACATAAGGGCACTGATTAATCCAAAGGAACCCACTAGTTAGACGGGGAAAACTGAGCAACTCAGAGCAGCCTGTCATCTTGTGTCTAGGGAGACTTGTGTGAAAACCCTAGAATGACCTTATGATTCCAGTCCAACCTCATCACATCTCATCATCCCTAGAGCTATAACTAAAAGTGAGATCTCAATTTTTCCATGGACAAGTACAAAGTCTGACATGGAAGAACAGAGTTTATACTTCAAAATATTGCAAAATGTTGCAATATTTATGTAACTTTTCTTGACAGAAATTAAAGTAACACTGAATTTTAAGTTTATCAGATTAAAGATGACTGGATATAAAATATTAGATTAAATCAACTGCA